GATGGCGTTCTGCCTGCTCTTACAAATAATCAGGCTGTTCACAGAGATCATCAAGAAACTTTCAACGAGTCTGAACGAACAGCAGCCAAGAGAACAGTAAGGATTTCGAAGGAGGTACAGCACAACGCATAACGTCTTTGCCTTAAATTGACTCTTCGATCGCGCCAGGAAACACCAACGTTCTCTTTGCATCGCCTTCATTGACTACGAGAGGACGTTCGACACTGCCGGGTACAGCACGGAATGGACACCCATTACATCAGCCTGCTTAACAATCTGAAATTTGGCTGCTTCACAAATATTACCCTTCGGATTTTCGTAGAGAAAGGCGTGGAACAAAAGGTCACATCTCGAAACTCTTCACTGTCTGATTGGAAAGGGTGTTCCTGAGGATAAACTGTAAGTGAGTAGAACTAACACCAACTGTAAACAGTTCAACCACCTTAGGTTTACTGATTAACTGTTATTGTTCACGCAAACGAAGATCGCCGATTCACGCCGTCACAGGCTGACTAGTCGATCGGTCCTCAGCTTCAAATGTGATAAGACTGCATCGTGAGCCCGGAAAGCCACGCTTGGAAAGAGCAAATGAGAGAGATATTAATAGAAAGGGCTTGAACCCGAGAGAAATGGCGGACTATCGCGTTCGGCGCGATTCATCGCTGTTTGCCAGTAGGTCCAAGTTAATTCACAGAAGGAAACTATTGTAATATTGTGTTATTTGTTTATTACGAAATTAAACCGAATTAGCGTATTGAGAGAAGTTTTAGACTATTTTCGTATGGTTAGGAACGCACACTGCAGTACAGTGTGAAACAGGAGATTAATTTTCGACTGACTGTGTCCGTTCGCATCAGAATCAGACTTCTTTATTCTTTATTCTGACGTGTTCCCATTAACAGGAGTCCGCCAATCGATTCAACTGCCTGCACATTTTTCGGTCTTTGATTAAATCTTTGCCTTTATTCATCCATCACAGTTTCATATCGTTCTTGACGACATCGCCTCGCCATTTCTTTGGTTTTCGCCTTTCTTTTTTTCTGCCAGTACGGCATTGTTTCGGTTACATATCCAGTGTACTCGATGGGTCTTTTCACGTGACTAAACCAGTGGAGCCTGCTTTCGATAAGCTTTTCTGAAGTTGGTGCTGCACCCAGAGTGCCTCTTATGCAACTGTTTCGGATGTGGTCCGTTCTGCTGACGTCACGTATCCATTTGACCATTCGCATTTGTACCGAGTTCAGCCGTTGATCGAGTCTCCATGGTAGGCAGACATTCGTTCTTTACATAAGTACCAATTCTACTATCGTTCTCTACACATTCCGCTTCAGTTTGATGGACATCCTCTGACCAGAGTATCCTTAACTGAGTGAGCTAATTTTGTTTCTCAATCTGTGAAATAAAAGAATTTTTTATGGATTGTTTGATAACTTATTATCTAATCGGAAAATGACATTGCTTATAATCACAAACGACTCGGCATGCGTATGAGTTCGTTATGTTTTTTTGGTGTCTGTTTTGCGTACTGTAAATTATGGTTCGATCAAGTTTTCATGTAAAATAGCTATAAATACAATATATTTTTAGGAGGAGAGTCAACGCATGACTTTCAGAATATTCGCCCTGTTGTGTGCGTCAGGGTTCCTAAATTTTGCGCAAAACGTGTGTACCTTCTCTTTGATACATAAACTGTCGGCGCTGAGCTACGCGGTGGTGAACGCGGCTAAGCGAATTACGGTCATCACCGTCTCGTTGCTCACTCTTAGGAATCCGGTGACGCCGGTGAATGTGTTCGGCATGTGCTTAGCGATCTTCGGCGTTTTCGCCTACAACAGGGTAAGACCACCGGACCGGTTATCATTACGTTAATCAGGTCTTTAATTCGTTACTTTCTATTCTTAGGCAAAACAAATCAAGCGTTCCAGTTATCCATTTATTCTGCAAATGGATGACCCGTTTTTTGCGGAAAAAATGTACTTTCCATTTTCCTCTCCAATTTTGCCTCTGGCGTTGAACTCTCGTAACCTTTCAGCTAGCAAGTACTCTAACATGAACGGCTACTTGCATCCTTCTCCTAGTTCGGTTGATCTGCTGTAGTATTTTCGTTCTATTTACATCGTTTTCTCTCTTGTTTGAATTGTTATATTATTCTATTCTATTTTTGTTTTGCCTCCAGTTTTATTCCAAAGATGGAACTGAAAATCACTCTCATCGTTATTGTTTATTAATAAATGTTCATGGTAAATTGCGCTGATGGATACACAACGCTGAATTAAGACATCGAGCTAACCAGAGGATTTTTAAAGTCTGTCTTTGATGCTTCGGTTAACAGCACTGAATAGAGCCCATTGTTCTATAATAATTGAGCCCGTGAGTCCACGTCAAGAAGGGGCAGTAACATGATGTTCTGAAACAGCCGACTGTTACTCGTGAGAAATTCACAATGATGCGGTGTGTATTCAGTTGCCATAACGTTTAAACTCGCCAAACCTTATTCATGCCTTACATCTTTCATCCACTGTTTCGCTGCGAAACTCTGATGCTGAAGTGAACACAGCTGCAATATTCAAAGAGTTTCTCAGTGAAGAATACTCATACCAGTAGGTCAGTGTCAAAATGACTATTATACATAACAGAAAATCTGTCAGGGTGTTGACAATTTGAACGTACAGGCTGGAATGACCATATGAAATGACAGTGTTCATACGTTTCTATACCATTTTTGTTTTCACTTTTATCTGTTTGTTGTTCAACAGTGGTGAAAAATGACAATAACATTCAGCTGAAAACACTGTATGATGTGTGGCGCTTAATTTCATTATGCAAAGTTGATCCATTGCGAAATTTTCCTTTCGTAATATTCATGGTTGATTAGAGAGAACGCATTTCCTTGTTTAAGTTTGTTTTTTCACTGGTGATGTTCACATCTTACAGCAGAATCATCCCAGGTTGAACAAATGGTGATAAGTTAGTGCGTACTGTAGACGGTTTTCCAAATCATGGTTGAAGGGACAAAACAGTGCAATGTTAACACGTTTCAGTACTCAAGTCGTCAGGTTAAAGCTGATATGGCAGGCTGCCGTGCATGCACAGAAGTACAACGTTTTAAAGTGAAAGACAAATTAGGCCATATTTTAACCAGCACATTCGTAAGTTCAAAGTTAACAGCAATTTGAACCACGGATCATGCGTTTCCAAACTTTTTTTTATCAAGTTGGTGATATAAATATGACCTCATATCAGTTATATCGATAGGTGGTTGAACGATTCCATGTTTAGAGCACAAACAGACGGGAAAATCTTTATTGCCAATGCGTTTCGCTACACAGACCCTAGCATAATCAGGGCTAGGGTGAGCACTAATGGCTGCTTGAACGAAATTTTATGTAATTAACGAACAACATCACTGTCTTCCAATTGGCACATACCTTACAGGCAAAGCGCTGTTAAACCGCTTCATCAAAGTATTACCCAACAGATAAAGTAAACATCACATTAACAGTTAACTGGATCTTTGTTATGTCGACCCTATTTTGTGCATCAAATCTGCGGTTGTGCCCCAGATTTGATCAATAACCACGGAAGATGTGTATTCACTGCTAGAATATGCAAGGATTCCTTTACTGGCAAACATTTTTAGGAACGGTTTATGTCTATGACAGATACATTGATGTGACCGAAAGAATGCCTTTCAGTGATTGCATGCTGGGCAATAGCAAAACTTTCAGCTTGTGAAAGGCAAACCTCACTTATGTGCTCTTTGATCCGGATATTCGTATTCCGATAGGTTTTTCCAGTGTACACCTTGTCGCAGTCTCCCCACAGGACTCCAGCTTCTTCCAGGTACTTCCTGAATGAAACATTGCCCAATGTTCTGCCAGTCTTGCAGTGGACTCGAAACCCGTCATTAAGGTACCTTCTGATACGTTGAAATACCTGGGGCATGAAAGCTAACATTACCATTCGTCCATATGGATGGGGCATCTTAAAATTCGAGCTGGGTTAGAAGTTGATGATAGTACACCAGCTTTCTTTTATCGCAACGAAAGAGGAAGGTAAGTGTTCGTTGCGCACGAGAATTCATAGTTACAATAAGTAGTGACTTCATTATCAAAAGACTAAACCTCACTCATCCTTGCCGATTACAGACACACTCATCTGACGGTACAGCTGTCTATCAGAAAGGTTGTGTTGCGCAGTACTAGAGTAATCAGCCTCACAGAGAGTGATTGTAGAAAAGTATTCTTTAGTCCGGATAATCAATATCCGGTAAGTCTTTCAAACGCATATCTTATCGCAGTCTTTAATCTCGCGACAATAAGCCATGGTCGACGCTTCCTCCCGGTTGCTCAAGGAAAATCTCATGATAACAAGTATCCCATACTCATGCTGATCTCGTCTTCTCATTCCTTGTATCGAAAACGATGGCGAGTACAGTAAAAGCATTTGACCTGCATCAAATGTATGCTCACTCTTCAATCCCTTCGATGCAATGTCAGTTCTAACGAGATCTTTCTGTCTTTTTGCGGCCACCTGCCATTAGGGTTTGCGTTCAGCATCCGCTTTGCAAGGCAACTATCGTTCAACTCGCCAACAGTGGCACCAGCAACGCCTTTTTGCAACGAATCCATCATTTCAGTTGGGTATTCTAATCGCTTTCTTAACAACAGCATTTGACATCACGTGGGTCGTAACGCTTCATTCCTGATATTGATCTTAACATCATGATTTCCGTCATCCCAGTTTTCTGTTTCAAGCCTTGTTTTGTGCTGCTGCCTCCAGGCCACCGAACAAGATGATCACAATGCATACTACGTATGTTCGCAGCTAAGTACTATTGTCAGCATCCTAATCACTCCAGCTGAGTTGAACCAATTTCCACCCACTTCATATTCTGTAAGTTAATCAATAGTCCAAGAGATCAGAATACCTCTGTTTGAAAGTCAGGAACAGTGATGTCACAGCTTAGAAACTATCCGCAAACAATATGATATATCATCCACAAATGTTGCTTTATAATAGCAAATACAGTTCTTGTATAAACGAAATGTCGCAGTACTTACCAATGGCGAAAAGTGCGACTCAAGCAGCGGTGAAGACCACAGAGAGCTTTGTTGACTTCACAACATTAATGCGAAGTTCATCGTTGTAGTGAGGTACCTTGGGAAAAGAATATTCAATACAATAATGCGTTAAACCGTGTCGTTACAAGGATGGAAAGTGCTGGCACTTTCTCAGTAAGCTGGTAATGAATGAATCACCACTATGAGACTGTGATGAGGTACACACAGTGAAACGTATCGCGGACCCCTGCTGCATCTTCACCGACTACAATGGTACAAAGGGGAGCATATACATAATTTAATTCTGTTGGCCACTTGTAGATGCGCAGAATAGTTATCAGTGCCGAATATGAAATATTAGGATCATTTGCCTGTTGCTCTGGGGTACGAAGAATAGAGCATTGATTCATTCACTCATTTCCATGCCCACAATTTAAACCAGCTTTACACATGCAGCTTCAGGCGATTTCGCCAATGGTCTCGGTTCCTCGCCAATCACTGGCTGCATTCCTCAATGCCAGATCCTCCACATAATCGAGTCAAACTTGCCCTGATCTGCTACCAGACTATACACCATCTATCTTAAGGATATATGCCTTGCAAGTCTTTCTTGTTGCATTCTCCTCTCTTGTGATCTTTCGATCTGACGAAAGAGCGGTTCAAAGCATGGGAATTAAATTTATACGAGTTTCAATAAGCTGTAGAAGAAATACTTTCCAAACGGTTACATAGTCGTTCGGTTTCCGCTGGATTACGGAAGAAGTCTGCAATTTGCTCAGCAAAAGTAAGCCACTGTAGCAAATCTTTCAAGACGCACTTGTTCCTGCAACATCGCCATCGCTTTCAAAGCTGAACCCCGTGCTTGATTCGTCCTCTGATAGCTATTTTCGTACCAGCGGTCGGTTTAACGACGAACCTACAACTCTGTTTTAGTTCGAGTTTATAAACTGGTGGGTGAACTTAGTTCAAGCAAGAAAACGCAAAAATCATGATGCAGAAGCTTTGGATGAATATCACTTAAAGGGACAAGAAAAGAACGATACGTGCATCTGACAGGAGTTAACTAAACCAAACAAGAAATGGCAGTGCACTGTTCCACCAAAGTCGTCCAGAGCGACGTAAGCTTCCTTTATAAACAAATGGTACAATTGGCCGTTTGTATGTACGTGTGTACTGTGTCTATATTTTGTTTTTGTTGTGGTTGTGCACCAAAACTTTATTTTTGGCGTGGTTGCAGAGTCCCCATAAAGTCGCTTTTGAACTCCGGAGGTATCGAGTTCGAATCCGCTCATGGAATAACCTTTGTCTTAACAGCGAATTCCCCTGAGTAAAAAATTTACTCTGTGCTGCTTCGGCGCCACCAGACAAGAAACGAGTACTAAACCAGTGACTTGCGATAAACAGGGACAGCATGATATTCTGGTCAGGCAAGAATGGAAAAGGTGTACGGACATGCCGTCCGATGAGAGTGTCCCTTGTTGATGCAGTTCGCCTTGACTCACCTGAAATCTGATTATCCAGTGTAATAATGAGTACCAAGTATAACTCTGATTTCGATTTCGAAATACTGAACACGATTTGCGAACACTGTCAGAAACGAAGGAGCCTGCTCGATCGACCGGCCGAATCTCTTAGGGAAGACAAAGGATATCACCTCAGCGGACTTTGCTATAGATTGGAGTTATCTTCTGCCGAAGCTTAGACACCGGAAACACTTCCTGGTTCTTTCGGATAAGATAAATGACGGGCCGACGGATCAAGCGGAGGAAATCGGTTAACGAAGGAGTCGAAGGACCTGAGGAACAATCGTGAGATGTCAGGTGAAAAATTCATTTATTCCTTTATCAATTTCGATTTTACTTCCAAACGAATGGTGTAGTGTATCGCTCCCTTCCCTATTTGCTTAGTGATGTTTTAAGCATGCCA